CAATACAATACAGAAACCATATACAATTTTAAACATTGTTATTACCAACTTTTACTATACAAAAACATATTATTAGTTTTCAACGACAACTTTAAAAAAGTATTCAAAATACTTATAAAATACATTAAAAAACTTGTATTTAGAATACCATATAAATAGGTACTTCAAAAAGTATTTAAATACAAGTATTCAAATACTTTACAAGACTGCTAGTATAATATATATCTTAGTCCGTGTTTTGTATTATGAATAATATTAATATTAATATATTATACATGTGTATAGTATATAGAACAATAAATGTATATTTACAATTTGTTAATATAAAATGTCAATGTGTTTCACGGTAATAAGATGATAATTAAAAATCGCGGGTCCCTGGACATATGTCCCATTTGTCCTCCCCTAGCGCCGGCACTGTATTTGCATTTCGAAATAAATCAATTTCGAAGGCCAAACAGCCGGGCGGTTATCCTAACACAATCGCTGTGCACATTAATTGTACAGTGTAAAAACTAAAACAAGTCAAAACACGCAACCAGCTTTATAATGGAATTTATGTTTACATTCGTTTCTGTGCACATAAAGCCGGGATTAAACGGAGCGGGTAAAACCACACAGTAAGGAGACCGACGAGACAATTGTTGTGAAAAAACGCGCCGCGCACCGGTTATCTGGTTTTTTTCAAAACTATCTACATGATGTATGTGATTGGTGGGGGTGTGTGGGATAGCAACGGCTCTTGGTGGCGACTAGCGACAATCGTTCATCACTAACTTTTCTCCAGTCTCATAGAACGGACAACTATCCAACTACCGACGTAAGTTCATTTTCACATTTACGTATTTACCTTTTACTTTTTAGTATTTTTTTTATCCAGTAACTTGTGCGCCGCCGCGGCCGATCGACGCCGAAAAACTACGCTCCACTCCGTGCTAATGCCAGAGGAGTGCGCCACCGTTGGAAGACCAATACTATCCTAATAGATGAGAATAGTAATGACGTCACAGCCTTGATTGATAACGCGCTGGGTTCCAAACAAACCGTTATCACAGTTTCTATCCATAAGAATTACATTTGCTTTTTTCTTTCCATTTTTAAATTTAATATTTGTCCAAGAAAACCAATTTTTTTAGATTTCAAATTCATTATTAATTTAATACACATTTGTAAGTATATTTTAATGTGTTCATACCATACACTTAAATCGTTTTAGCTTGATGATAATTGAGTTTGGCAATCTGAGTCATGTTTATTGACCAACATACTATTATTAAAAATAGTTTTTCTCCCATAATTTTAAAACGTTTATTTAAATGTATCAAAAAAATTAAAGTTTCAGAAATATGGTTCATTGTTGGGCACCGTTGTGCTCCCATAATTCAATGAAGGACAAATGTTCATTTTTTCGATTTCCTTTGGACAAAAAGGAACTTAGTGCTTGGGAAAGTGTTATTAGGTAAGTATTAAATAAAGTAATGTACCAATACAATAGGTATATTAAATACCTAATAGTTAAATAATAAATAGTTAATACACCTATTAATTATTTCATACAGCTCCTAACATTTTATTACATAACAATTTAATCATAAATAGTTTAGATAGTATTGATATTAGCTTTAACTATAAATTAATGATGCATTGTAACTTGGTATGTGTACTTCAAAACTTATAACAGTAAAATTTATTTAAGGAGAGCTGATTCTACACCGACCGCTAATAGCCGATTATGCAGTTGTAATTTCAAGGATAAATTGAAAGAAAATGGCCCATCCATTTTTGCCTGGAATAAAAAAACTATTATGGATTTTAAGTCTCCAGAAAAAAATAAAAGGTATTTTTGTATTGGATAGCATTAGTTTCCTCTATACCTCTCAAACATGTTACCCAACCATTAATAGCTCAGGTAATTATAAATTTCATGAACACATACACAATGTTCTATTTATTATGATTTAAGAGGACGTTGCACCCACATGTTTTGTCTCCATCTTACATACGTATGACATGGCATATTATTTTTGTTGTTCTCTAGTTTCAATAGGATATTGTCAGTTTTTATATTAGAGTGAACTGACCTATTATCAAACTTTTATATTATATTACTATTAAGAGGACGCTACACCCGCATGTGTTGTCTCCGTCTTACACACGTACGACATAGACAAAACGCGTTTAGGCAGTCTGAGTATAACTCGCTCAATTTTGGTTCTAGAGTAGAAATACCTATTATGAAATTGAATTGTGATAATATTTATAAGGGCAAGACGCTGCGGTTTTTTTAAAAAATTTAATTTTTTAAAAGTCAAAGGTATTTTAAAAATGGTGAAATTTTTTCTATTTCTAAACGATATAATGAACGTTATATTGGGTATAATGGAAAAACCGCAGCGTCTTGCCCTTAGAAATATTATCACAATTCAATTTCATAATAGGCATTTTTACTCTAGAACCAAAATTGAGCGAGTTATACTCAGACTGCCTAAACGCGTTTTGTCTATGTCGTACGTGTGTAAGACGGAGACAACACATGCGGGTGTAGCGTCCTCTTAATACTTTACATACCCATAACTCACTTAAAAATTAAAATATCGTAAAAAACCAACTAGAGAATACAGATAATTTTGTTACCTAAAAGTTTGATAATTGGTCAATTTATTTTTATATCAAAACTGACAATACCCTATTGAAACTAGCAAACAAAAATTTGCTATGTCGTTTGTGTGTAAGACGGAGACAACACATGCGGGTGCGAAGTCCTCTTAATAATAATTATGTACTCTCTTAAAAAAATCTATATACATATTGTACTGAGTAGTAAACTGTGTCATATTTTTGTTTTGATGATTAAAAAATTGTTTTTTGTTTATGATGCTATTAAAGATTATGCTTTCTCAAAAAAAACTTCTTTCAGACATATTTTGAGTACTTATACAATGTATTTAAGTAGCATTCAAATACTTTACCGAAACAGTTTTTTTAGTATATTTTAGGTTATAAATTTTCTCTAGATTATTTTGGTAATATTTTAAATGCTCAATTTAATTAAATTAATTTTTTTATAATGAACTAACCTATTTACATTAAATGTTTTTATGTTTTTTGTATTATTGTAAACCATATGTATTATTGCATGTTCCTTTTTTTCATTTATATTGTTACTAACATTCTTTACATTTACAAATTAATATAATTATATATTATGTATTCATTATTAACTATTATTATGAACTAACCTATTTACATTAAAAAATGTTATGTTTTTTGTTTTATTGTAAACCATGTGTATTGTTGTAAACCATTTGTATTATTGCATGTTCCTTTTTCTCATTTATATTGTTACTTACATTCTTTACATTTACAAATTAGTACAACTATATATTATGTATTCATGTACTAAATTATATCATTCTTATTATTTAGTGTTAATGATTTTTTTGCATATGTATATTGTATAACTTATACTGTTAAGAACTCTCATTTGTACACAGCCTATGGCTTAGAAGTGATCAACTTATATACTTAAATTGTTTCAATAAATTGTAATCTATAGTTTTATATAAATAAATAAATCATCTAAATTTATAAATTCATGTATGTATATTTATTTATTTATCTATTCAAATCAGTGTTGTATCATCAATTTATATTTAAGATTTTTCTTTTTGAACATGAAAAATATTTGTGTTTATAGGAAAAGGAAGATTTTTTTGAGTAATGAAATGAACAATGACAATGATGTTAACTGTGATGGTGATGCAGATTTATCAAATACTCATCATAAAAATGTACTGGCTGACGCTGAAATATATTTCTTGAATCGAAAAATTGAAAGTTTAGAATTAGAAAACCAGTTGTTAAAAAATCAGAAATTTGGGTATCACTCTATCTGTGAAAATGAGGATATTTTTACTTTTTACACTGGTATTTCTAAAGAGATGTTTGACATTATTGTTCACTTATGTGGAGTTGTAGAATTTGAGTACTACAATGGTTGGAAAGTGGAATGTTTTTCAATTGAAGATAAAATTTTAATAACTTTTCTTAAACTAAGATTAAATTTGGTCAACAAAGATTTAGCCATTAGATTCAATACAAGTGAATCGACCGTTTGTAATATTATTCCGACATTTATAATTTTACTTTATGAAATATTATTCAATAAACTAATGGAAACTGTGCCTTCTCAAACCAAAAACAGACTTTGTCTGCCAAATTGTTTTGTAAGCTTCCAAAATTGTAGGATGACTATAGACTGTACAGAAGTAGCCTGTGACATTCCTTACCAATTGCATCACCAAAGAGCTACTTTCAGTTCATACAAACACAAAAATACATTAAAAGGGCTTATCGGAGTTGCACCTAATGGGGTTATTACATTTGTCAGCAAATTGTACCCAGGGTCAACTTCTGATAAGAAAATTGTGGGTCATTGTGGAATTTTAAGTTTACTAGGGCCGGGTGATCTAATATTGGCAGACAAAGGATTTCTTATATCAGACATTTTGCCTGATGGAGTTTCTTTAAACATCCCTCCATTTCTTACTTCTCCACATTTCACACCTAGTGAAGTTGAAAAAACAAAAAGTATTGCCCGTGCTAGGATTCACGTTGAAAGAGCTATTAGTCGATTAAAGGGATTCAAAATTTTGAGCCATATTCCAAAATCTTTGTTCAAAAAATCATCCATAGTGTTTCAACTTTGTGCATCCTTGGTTAATTTTCAAAATCCACTTATTAAAGAAGTAGAAAGTTTATTCACTGTATTAGCTACGGAACATACTGATGTTTAATTCATGTTTATAAACCTTCATGTTAAATTTTTCTTAAAGTATACCTACCTATAGTTAAATTAATTAAATAATAATACATTTTAATAATTTTGAAGTAAATTAATGCATTTTTTAATCTGTAATAATGTTTTTAATAAACATCTGTCAACTTTTGTTTACTGTAAAATGTGTAGTATAATATTTAATGAAATTGATATTATTATATTATTTTAGCAACCAAGGTACATACTGTTTATGATAAAAATCTAATAAAATATCAATATTGTTCTTCCAGTCATCATTTGCTTCGATTTGGATAGCAACCATACTTTTAGTTGTCCATACAATTAGAATACAACCAACAGATTTGGTCATAAATATTTGTCCTTGTATTTGGCTGAAGTATTCATGATCAGTATTTAATTCATATATCTTCTCATTGGAATTTAATTTTAAAATATAATCTGTGTGCTCTATTATACATTGTTCTAGGACTTGGTTACGGAATTTAAAAGGATATTTTATTTCAATGCAGTATTGTTTGCCATTTATTACAGCCAATCCATCAGGACTAGCTCCTAGGAGACCTGATGTGTGAAGCCATATACCCGTGGGTTGAACATGAATATTTAATTTTTCCTCAAATTCTTTTAGAGCTATCTTCTCATGATTTTTGCCCCACTGTACAGACCTATAAGATTCTAGATTATAACTTCCTATGAGAGTTTTGAAAAGAGATGGTGGATACTTGTTTCTTTTAAAACTCTTTAACACTTTTGAAAAGTTACTTGCAGTGATCCTGTACTGTCTGTAAAAAGACCACTTGATATTTTCAGACTGTCCTACCGTTTGAGCAGCTATTTCTTCAATTTGTTTGAAATCAAGGTTGAAATAGTTGTTCAAAAATTGTTTTTTATCTACCGTTTTTCTAAATTCTTCAGAAAAAAGTACCGAATCTAAAGGTGGTATACTCAAAACATTTTGAAGAGAATTACTTGGTTCTGGAGTAAGTAACCAAGTAAATCCTACTACATGATTACTGGACTTAAGTTTTTCAAAACATACTTGCTTAATATCACAGTTGATTTTCTTAATAACAGAGTTGCTTTTATCAGGATAAAGTTCATCTATTGTAGAAACCCTATCATCGTCACTAGATTTTTGTTTGCGCCAGGCACATTCTTTATCGGTTACAGATATGTTTTTATGAGCATGCATCAATAAGGCTGTCATGTGACTGCATTTAGTTTGTCCAACAGCACAGGTACACTTAGCAAAGTCAATAATGTCATTATTAAGGTGGATCTAAAAATTTAAAAATACTTTGAATCAATCTAAATTTAAAAGATTTTTTTAATTATTTGTATAAATTACCTCAACCTGATTAATTTTTTTTTTCATGCTAGAATGAACACTACCTGTTAAAACGCCCAGAACAGGTATGAACATTACCACTCTCAAAATGATTCTCCCCTTTGGCCAAAAGTTTAGGATCGTTAATAAATTCAACTATTCGATGAAACTTGAAAGCAGAAGACATTTTCACTCGGTTATACCTTATACAATTAGAAATTTTAAAAAGGTGTTCTAATCAACAGACAACAGGATAGACAAAAGTACTAAGAAAGTGTTTTAAGAACTAAAATATATGTTTAAAGTTTTGGTTCAAAGTTGCCTTGCATTTCTTATGGAGAAATAAGTGATAACAGTTTGTTTGGAACCATGAATGTTATCACAGCAAATTGTGACGTCACACTATTCTCATCTATTCAGCCTAAATTGTTAGTTGTTGGATATAACAATTATCATACACGTGAGTCTTGATATTATTCACCAAATCAATAAACGAATTAACATAACTGTAGCTCGAAGAGCACTTGTGACAATAAAAGAATATATTGTAGAACATATTTAATAAAAACATCAAATCTGACCTGAGTAATTAAAAATATCTGTAGCTCGAAGAGCATTTATATGTCAAAAGAAAATATTGTAAAATCTCTGATTTAATATTTTGAATTTATTTATGTGAGAATAAAAATACATATTTAAATATCATCAAAAAACTACTGTGTATTGTATTCTTACAAAATATAATTTTAACTGGGTTTCCAATTGACAATTTAGCTTCTTTAAATGAAGCAGAGAAAAAATTTAAAAATGACAATGTATTTTACAAACAGTTGGTAAGTTTTTTTTTCTTAATTAGTTTTCTCTGTAATACACAATTTATAGTTAAATTCAAAAATTCCAAATATTGATAGTATATTTCAATATTGTTTGGAATACTTTTAAAAAGCATTTTATTGCAATAAAAGAAATACTTATTTAATATTACAATAATATTTTTTCCTTAATGTATTTCTTTAAATCATCGCAAGCAACACAAAATTGGATCTGTGTATGGCTCAAAATGAGAAAACAAATAGTGTCCTATGTTAAGATATATTATTGATATATCTACTACAATATTTTTGTTAAATATTTTTAGGTAAAAAAATTACAAGAGATGAGAGGTAATGATTTGTGTATGGTAACTAAATGCATAATGGATACATTAATCACTGATCATTTTGGTAAACAAATGTCACTTACCGGTCGTGGTTCAAACAATAAAAAAGATGATATAATTGCTCTAAAATGTACCACATTATATAAATTAGTAATGAGTAAGTAGATTATCAAAACATTTTATTAGTATTACTGCATAAGTAAATATAAACTATTATTATTGGGTATATTGTTAAGTTAGGCCCTGGCGTACTTCCCTGCAATGTGCACAAGATATAAATTAAATTGAAAAGAAATATGGCTCCGATAACTTAATAATAATTATCATGTTAGTAGTGGCGCGACTAGAATTTTTTTTTGAGGGGGTCGTCTGCTCAGTGTCTTATTTACTATCTTTTTTAAAGAAAAATTCAAAGACTGAAAATTTCAAATGGTTATATTATATTTAAATATTATGTATTATATTATCTATTTTACCCACCTTCCCCTTAAAATATTTCTGAATACACCTCTGGGCTCTGGTTTTTGCCAATCATACAATAATGTATGCATTTTTTTGTTGTACTTCTTTATGGGTAATATAGTTGTTAGTATTAATATTTTATAATATAGACACTGACATAATAGCATTTAAAAAAATACATTCTTTTACTAAATGTTATATGAATTATATGATTACAGTTCTATTTTATAAACTTCTAAATAGGAAATTGTTAATATTCATTCCAGATAACATTTATTACTATTGAAATCTTTATTTTTCTATATTATAGTTATTACCACTCAAATATCATTTTCAGGTGTTATTTTAAAAATACACCAGCAATCAAATACAATTCAAATAAACAAAGCAATAACTGGATATCTGAAACATTGCAAAGAGCGTTGGGAGCGGCAATTAATGGCAAAAAAAAACTGTGACTAATACAATATATTAAATTAGCTTGTATACAATTAATATATTTGTATTATTATATGTTATATTATAAATAAAATTATAATATAAAACATTTAATTTGAAATAAAACAATTTATAAGTACTATTATTGTGGTATTGTTGTGGTTTGGTGTGGTGCGGAAACGCTCTGAGTGTACGGTGTTGCTAGCTCTCAAATGAATAACCATCCATTTTTATCAACAAATCCTTGCCACACTAACATTAGGTGTTAAAAAACCTACAGTATCACTGACAGATGACCTCAGTTTTCAAAAAGTTTAAACATAATAATAATAATAAAAAAAAAAAAAAATACCTACTATTATTATCTATTATTGTATTTTAGATTCTGAGCGGATTTTCTTCAACAGTATCTTTTCTGATAGGAAAGTGAATCTAGTTGGTACTTTGGGGGGTAAAAAGTAAAAATTTCCCAATAGTTTTCATAAGCGCCTTAAAACGCAAATGAAAAATTAAGGAAAAAACGGGAATTTTTACGCAAACCCGATTTTCGACAAAATCGATATTGGTTTTTGGTGTAACTCTAAAATAAATGATGGTAGATACATTCAATTTTGACTGAACGTTTATAAAAGCATTTTCTATGAACCATAGCATTTTCAAAATATTTTGACTCATTTTGAGCTGTTTACAGACATTTTCTGTTTCCAATTTTTTTAATTTTTTTTCTCTTATCAATAAAATTTTATTTGTTGGGTAAAAATTCTTGAAAATTTAATAGAAGGCTCCTAATAAATTGTTTCAAAGGCAGATAAAAAATAATGAACACCTAATTATTGCATGAAGTTGAGGTATTATTAAATAAATAATATCAATGTACTTTGTGACTCTTCTAGATAGACCATTATGGGCATATTTTAGGATGTATAAAAAATATATCCTATCTGGTTCCTGTCGGGTAGGTCTCATGAATAGTCTCAAAACGGACATTAGGAGGAAGTCTATAGACCCTCCTCAGACTCTACCGGAAGCGTATAGGCCCTTTATATTTATGGTCCGCCAGTCTCAATAGACCAGCCTGCGACCTACCTAGGAAGGTCCTTGTGCTATTAGGGAGTATACAATAACATATAATAAAAATATATATAATATACTATGTAGTAGGTACTCGATATATTATAGTTTGGTTAGGTTAAAATACTGCTACAGATTATAAATACCTACTGTTTAATACAATATTAATAAACTGATAAATCTAATAGAACTGATTGAATTCTGGCAGTTAAATTGTACAATTATATGACTACTCTATTACTTATATTATAGGCAGGTTTGATCGTTTGTAGGTATACATAATACATATATATATATATACATAATACATATATATATATATATATATATTACAGTTTTTAGGTGACTCAAATTATGTATGTCAACAAACAAAATATAACTTAATGTATTCAATTAAATTCTGGTAGGTAAATTGTATAATGACATGACTATACTAAACTAATTAAGCTATTTAAAAAATAATAATACATCATACTCCAAAAACCAATTGTTATGAATACTAAGAACCCCTGGTTACTTTATATGTAGAATATATGTTATTAGTATTATTGATATTGTACACCACCTCCGGCCGAAACGGAATGTGCTGAGCAAACCTTTTCGGCCCGGACGGAGCAACGACTCGCTGTGTATAATACAAGCGAGTCAGTCTTCGTTTAAAAGCAGAGCCTTATGAATGTCAGAACCTCACATAACATTCGGAACATTTTATATTAATTATATAATTTTAGAAGCATCTGCCGTTATTAATGACACCCAATAAAGTTAATATAGTTCTTTTTAATTTGTGTTGTGACTATATTTATTTGTGACTGAACACCTAAGTGCGTTCATAACACAATATCAATTTTGTCAAAACTCGATTTAGCGTAGAAATTTCAGATTTTCCTTAACTTTTTTGTTTGTGACACTTGAAAACTATTGGAAATTTTAAATTCACTTTCCACTCAGAAAGGATGCTGTAGAAACAATTGAAACTATTTTAGTATCCAAAGGTGATAACATACACAAATAAAAAAAACACACACACACATTGTAAAATCAATACATTCATCGCTCTGCTCAGAAACTAAAATATTTAAAAGTATTCTGAAATTAATTACCCCATGATCTCATAGTATTAACACAAGTGATTATTGTGTAGTAGTGATATTTTATTTTAATAATGCCTGAGAATTTTAATGAATTTCTATAATTTTAATTAATTTATCAACTTAAAAATGCCAGTTATGTAACATAAATAAATGTTTTTAGTGCCCATTCGAATTGGTTTTAGATTTAAAAACATAAAATAGTTTAGAGCACCTTATATATCAGTCTTAATTGCCCGTCTATTAGTTACCTCTATATACTTACGACCAGATTGATAATATAAATATTTAATAGATAGGATTTATAATGAAATAAATAATTGTATAATGGTTCTATTTGTAAATTCATCTAGACACCAATAAAATATAGGTAGATATCAAAATATAAATACTTTATTTACAAATTAATATATATTTTAAATTAATTAAGTTCTACACCTATGTAAGCATTATTTTTTATAACCAATAGCAACCCTATAATGATAAAAAATATTATTTCAATTATTTCAATAAAAAATTCTCAACTTTGGAATAAAATAAATTAAAGGCCATATTTTATTGAGAAAAAAATATAATATAGCTTATAGACCCTTGGGGTTGTGGAGACAAACAAACAAACAATTTTTAAATAATATATAATATAATATATATTCATAAATAATATTTATTCATGTTTACAACAAAGTACCTACTTGGTAAAAATCATTATAACAAAAAATATTTTAATGAAAAACAAAAATTATGACCAAATACGAATGTATGTCGTAAATGGCTGATTGCACAATGGGCATCGTTCTGGATTGAGTAACACCACACAATCTCCACATACTGGCCTATGCCCACATGGTATAAATGCATGAGTTCTAATCGAATCACAGCATACAACACAAATGTTATCAAAATTTCCAATGGTTTCTGAATCAGAAACTGGCTGAACTTGTACAAATGGCAAATCTTCTATTTCTGCCATTCGTCTCCTATTGTCTAATTCCATCATGAATATAACATCTGGATCCAACTCTTCTGCTATTATAAAGTCTTGTTCATTCCCTATAACATTAAATTATTTTACTATAATATTACATACCTACTTATATATATAATTTATTAAGTTTTAAAATAATTAATTTACATTGGTATTCTTCTTGACGCGGTTCCTCATTTTCATCTGGATGTATAATTTCATCTCCAGAATGGTCATTCAGTACATTAGCCCTCCTCATGGGAACAAACCTAAATGGAAACACGCTGTCGTCGGAATCTTGATCATTCAGTTGAGCTGAAATAATTATAATTATAAATGTATATAAATATATCAGTGTAGATGATTTATTTCTTGAAGTCGATATCTCGTTCCCTATAGTTAATATCAATATTAATATTATTATGACCCAGGGTCGTAAGTTCATGCCCTAAAAAATTCCTAAATAAGCATCAACTTTTGCACTAAAAACTAGCAAAATATACATTGAAATTTGTCTTGAAAAGTTCAGAATTGTGCATTTATATTTACTAAAAATATGCAGATTAAAAAAAGGAGAAATCATATTTAATTTTTGAAATAGCCTCCAACTAACTGTTGTACATTATCAAGAAACTAAGACTAGGTAACCATTTATTATAAATATAATTATAGATTAATAGGGCCAATTTTTGAAATAGTCTAGAACTAACTGTTGTACATTATCAAGAAACTAAGACTAGGTAACCATTTATTATAAATATAATTATAGATTAATAGGGCCAATAACAATATTTGTTTTCCCATGACTTGAAATTTCATAATATCATAGCAACAAAGGTATTCTGTACTTTCACACAAGGCTGGGGGCATTAACGAGTTAAAAGTTAAAATTAAGTTACTTAACTCGTTAGTTTTTTTTTTTCAAATTAACTTTTAACTTTATTAAAGTTACTTTTTTCAGATTAACGTATTAACTTAAGTTAGTTTTATTCAAAAGTAGGTATCTAAATTAAGTTAATTTCTGTCCGAAGAATAATGCAAATTTTGAATGAGGTTTTTAGTATAGGTACTTTTTTCGGGTAGTAGGGAGTCAAGTATGAGTTCAGAATTTCGGGATTTATTTTAGATAAGTAGGTTTTTTGATAGCTAGTTGGTACTTAGATGTATTAAAAAAATATAAAAAAAAAAAATTGTTAACTTGCCAACATTTTTTTTCACAATTACAATTCTGTGGTTAAACTTAGGGCGAAGGAAGTTGTATGAAGTAGGACATATCCTTTTTAAAGGCTAGATAGTTGTTTAATGTTATTAATGGTTAAAAATAAGAAAAATTAGGTTAAATTAAAGTATGCTCATCATGATGAAAAAAATCAAAATCAAAAGCACAGTAAATCAACTTACAGTGAATTTCTTGATGTGAAGGAGATCCATTTTCATTATTCAGAGGTTGATTTATACCAGAAAAATAGTTATAATTTTCAATATGAGCCACCTGGCATAAACAAGTTAAAAAGTAAAGTTGGATTACATAAGTTAAGTAACAAATAATTAATGTTATGGAAGGTCCATAATAAATTACTAACTAGGTATTATTACATATTATATATTATATGTTACCGTCATTCGCTACAGATTCATCAGAATCATTTCTTTCTATTCTCCTTACTCCAGGTCTTAAAAATGGAAAATAAACACTGTCATCAGGATTACTGTCGTTCTCAATTACATTGACCACGTGTTGTAGAGGTTCGATTTGGTCATAAACTATCACATCTATAGTAATTTTTTTGAAAAAAAAATATGTATATAAGTAAGATATAACTTAATGTTTATTCTATATCTGTTTTAGGTATATAAAATGTAAATTTATATTAAAATACCATTACCTGATTCATTATTATCATTGTCCTGTTGGTTTTCATCATCTTGATGAACATTGGCCTGCATGTTTTCATCATCTTGAAGATCATTGGCCTGCATGTTTTCATCTTCTTGGTCACTAGCTTGCATGTTTTCATCTAATAAAATATTGAGCATAAATATATGTTAATAAAAGTAGTAATATATAAAAAGTACTATACAGTGACATAATTAGGCTGAGTGATGACAGAGATACATGCCATCTAGTTGCATCAAACAATATTTATTTTACATTGCAATGAAAATAAATCAGTGAAGTCAGTGAAAGAATTACAAGGAATGTTATATTCTATAGAGATTAAATTAAAATCACATGAGTAACATTTTCACAAAAAAAACTTTGCTATATACCTACTATACTATTATGATTTTACTATACCTTGTTCGATATTATTATGCCAATTAATTTCTTGTCTCAGATAAGTTTCTGTGCTATGTGAGCATTGCAAAAGAAACTCCTTAACAGTAATAATACCAAGAGTTAGCTGTCTTGTAGCAGTCATAATTCGCTCAGAGTTTGCCAGATACTTCATTTTTATGGGACGTGTAACTCTCTGACCTCTTTCTAGTTGTTGAATAATAATATGGTTTTTTTTACTTAAATTGTTTAGATGTTCTAATTTTATAATAACAAAGACAAAAAAAAACATAATTGATTAATAATATAAATTGTAATAAATCTAGTACATCCAATTAAATTTAAATCAATCACCTAAAAATTTCCATAGATTAGGATGAACAGTTTGGAATTTTTCTTTAAGCTGGCTATGGAATGACTCAATATTATTATTGGTTCTTCGAGGAACACCGTGAACCGAAAACACTTCTGGTCCTCTTGTCTGTATCCAATAACTTGAAACCATAATATTATAATGTTAAGTGTAAATTTAATCAATTTAAATTTTTACGAAGTCTTAACTCAAAATGATTTGCTAATTTTCGTGATTTTTCCATATTTTGTCAATTTTTGAACTTTAAATGCTTATAAAAAAAACTGTGACTAACGATTTTTAATATTTTTCATCTGCCTTTGAAACAATATACTGGGAGCCTTCTATTAAATTTTCAAGTTTTTTTAACCAACAAATAAAATTTTATTGATATTTCTAGAAAAAAAACTAAAAAAAAATGAAAAATGAAAATGTCCCTAAACAGTTCAAAATAAATCAAAATATTTTTAAAATGTTATCGTGTATAGAAAATAAAAATATAAACAACCAGTGAAAATGTCATGTATCTACGGTCATTTGTTTTAAAGTTACACCAAAAACCAAATTCAATTTTCTGAAAAATCGATTTTGCGTAAAAATTCCTGTTTTTCCTTAATTTTTCTTTTGTTTTTCTTGGCGCTTTTGAAAAGTACTGGGAATTTGAAATCTTGACCTCCCCAATGCACCAACGATATTCACTTTCCAATCGAACAAGATACTGAAGTCGAAAATCGAAGCATTATTTCGACTACTTATCGTGTACACAGACACAAAAAAAAATTTAAAAAAAAACACACATCATTGTAAAATCAATACACTCATCGTTTCACTCAGAATCTAAAACGTTTTAATAATTAGTAAAAAAAATATTACATTTTGAGTAGTGGGTGGGTGGGTCAAGTGGCGCCGAACTCTACATTTAGTTAATCAATTGCTTCACATGATATATGAGTTCGGTACCACTGAGTTGGCCGATAGTGGGCCTAGTAGTGGTTGAAGGGGGGCCTGGTCCACTTTTATTTTAGTGTGTAGGTTTGGAATTTTGGATGAATCAAAATGTTGATTTAGATATAACGCCAATATGTTTAAATTATTTTAAATATGCACTGACAACAATCATTCATACAATCACTACAATTCTTAATATCCAATTGTACAATATATTATGTCATTATTTTATAACTATTGACCGGATTTAATCGCGTTAAAAATATGTTAGAATTGCACTAAAAATATGTTAAAGTTACATAATAAAATCATATAAAATATATAATAATTAATAATTGTTAATTACTTACTTCGATAACATGATGGACACTAACAAATTACGTAGTTCTAAAATAGTATTAAATAAATAAAAAATTTAAAAAAGTATTTAAAAATTCAAATATATTATTTTTCTGAATTATTATTATGTATAATTTGGTATTTATTTTACATTATTCCTAAATTGTGTAGCTGTAAAATGTATCACCTGTCACTTAAAATATTTTAATACTTAATATAATGAAAAAGTACGTTCAACGTCTACACTAATTGTTGTCATTGCATATTTAAAATAATTTAAACATTTTGGCGTTATATCTAAGCTAACATTTTGATTTCGAGCCATAACCTCAGAGTAAGTTTCATAGTTGTATATCCTTCATTTTTTTTCTATAGTACCTACATAATATTTAAATTAACTTTTAGCTATGTTCCCATTGGGGCCTTGGAATATTCATCAAAATATTTTCAATTTCACAAAATATCTTTTAACTATTATGTAATTGGCAATTTCATTTTTCTAAACTTGTGACTTTTAAACTTGATAAATATAATTTTAAAAATGCAATACGAATTAATAATTAGTATAGTATAGCCATCGTAAGAACGCTACTCGTTCGCGCATCCAAATGACCGAGCTCCGCAGTTTCGTACCCAAGTTTCTCCCACTCTACCATCTAGTCACCACCGTAAATAGGCAGTAGTGGCAGCGACAGTAGCGATGACGGCGACAGTGGCGGCGGCCAGCGTTCGGGAAGGTTTAGTGGTGGAAATGCGCGAGATCGGATGAATTTTGGTCGCCGCCCAGTAGCGTTCTTACGATGGCTATACTATAGTTTATCACGTGAAAATCACGTCAACAATAATCTACAACCATCACAAAAATTGCAAAATCGTTGAAAATGGCAACAAGTTAAATAAAAATTGTTTGATCAGATTTGGTTTACCTGATATCATAGGTATGATACCTAGATAATTGCATTAAGGGTGTAAGAAAGTAGTATAGTTATATTATAATAAAATATCGATATACCAGCTATAGCCATGCAGAAGGTAAAATATTAATATAATATTGTTGTAATTGTTGAAAGTGAAGCTTGACGGACTAATGATGTTAGCATTAATATAATGTATGTTTTTATATTATGTATTTATAATTATGTATAAGTATAATATATAATAACGTACAACTGGACAATTAAACTGTGACAGTACACACACATCGTATACGCTCTGTACAACGACGCCTGTGCAAGTGAATATTACATACATCAAAGGCAATATATATATGCACGACCGAGGTCATGTTACATCCGTAAAGAGAGTGAGTCTTATGCTCGTACATAACTGGTTACTATATTGTACACACGTGTCAAGGCTGACTACATATACTACATATTAATTGTATATTGCAACACCCTCCCTCAATTAATAATCTCTTTAATTGTAGTCACTCCTATGGCTGACCGCAACTTCTTGAATCGTTCCTTAACCAAAGGCTTGGTTAGAATGTCCGCAATCTGGTCCTCTGTTCCAATGTACTGTAGTTGGAATTGTCCCTCTTCGTATTTCTCCCGTATGAAGTGGTACCGTACGTCTATATGTTTTGTCCGCTTATGAAACTCCGGATTTTTCACTAAACGAATAGCACTCTGATTATCTATAAATAAAACTGGTTGTTTGTCACCTGTTGTTGATAAGCTTGTTATCAACCGTGTAATCCACAAGATCCCTTTGACAGCTTCACTGGCCGAAATATATTCAGCCTCTGTCGATGATAACGACACGCAATGTTGTCTCTGCGATGTCCATGAAATTATGCTTGACCCGTACCTGAATAGAAATCCTGACGTCCAACGTCGTGTCTGAATGTCACCTGCGTAATCTGCATTGCTAAATATTTCTAATGACAATTTTGTTTTGTTATTAAAGTACAAGCCATAATTAAATGTTCTTTTGATATATCGTATAATCCGTTTTACCAAGTTCCAATGAGCTTTAGTTGGTTTTGCTGAGTAACGACTAGCAAAGTTTACTGCATATGCTACATCTGGTCTTGTTACCTGTGATAAGAACAGTAAGCTACCTACTGCCTGCCTATAAGGAATATCCTCATTCAATATTTCCGTATCTTCTTTTTGTTCAAGTGTATGTGATTTGTCTATTGGTATTGAAAGTTCCTTGGCGTCCAGCATATTACATTTATCAATTATGCTACATGCATAATTTGTCTGATGCACAAATAATGAACCATTTTTCATTATATTTACCTGCATACCTAGGAAATAATCTAAGTATCCTTTTTTAACCTCAAATTCTTTCTCCAAGTTTGTTAAAAGTTTATTTATTATTTCTTCATTGTCTGCAGCGATTAAGCCATCGTCTACAAATCTTGAAAACCCAAGCGTTACGTAACGCAACCTTGCCCTGAGGCAAATTAACTAGTGACCAAGTGTTGTTTTCGTGTAGTGATTTAATTTCATCACTCATAGCGTGCTCCCACTCGTTTTTCTGTGGGTCAGCTATCGCTTCATCACGATTTAGTGGTTCAACGAGATTGGCGACGAACGACGACACATTATACCTGATCGGCGCTTTTAATGTATTCCAATCACGTATCACCATGCCACTAATGTTGTCGACCGTCGTCAATTCGACCTTGACCGGATCGCCCTCGATTTGAGTCTGAGTATCTGTGAATTCTAATTTGTCTGCAATTATATTTTCCAATTTATTACCTTCGTTTTCGAATATAATATCTCTAGACATTGAAATTCTATTTGTTTTCGAATAATACACACGATAACCTTTCGTGTTATCCGAATAGCCAACAAATATTCCTTTTTCACTTTTAGGGTCCCACTTTTTACGTTTTTGCTTTGGTATGTGTGTATATACGACAGTACCAAAAACTCGTAAGTGTTTAATGTCTGGCATTACCTTATAATATAACTCGTATGGTGAGTTATTTTTAACTGAACTGGTTCCTGTTCGATTAAGCGTGTAAACAGCCGTGTTTACCGCCTCCGCCCAAAGTGATACATCCAAATTTTTCGCACAAATCATTGTCCTCGCTGACTCTACTATTGTACGATTTTCCCGTTCCACTTTTCCATTTTGCTGTGGTGTGTAGGGAACTGTTAACTGATGTCGAATCCCGTGTTTTTGTAAAATACCCGTAATTTATTTATTTACGAATTCTAATCCATTATCCGTTCGTAATATTTTGACCTTAGAACCTGTTTCTGTTTCAACACTTTTTATGAACGTCTCAAAAATATTTTTAACATCATATTTATTTTTAATAAAATATACCGTTCTATAATGCGAGTAGTCGTCTTTGAATAACAAAAAGTATTTTGAACCGCCTATAGAGCTTACCTCCATTGGTCCACATAGGTCTGCATGGATTAAATCACCGACATTGGGATACTCCGTATTACTTTTACTAAATGATTTACGACTTTGTTTACCTATTATACAACTGCTGCACATGAATTCGTCGTCCTTGGCCGAACATACTATTTCGTGTTTCGCCAAACAACTTTTTACGTACT